TTAAAATCTGATAAGACATTATTTTTTTCTATATTATATGTCTATTGAGTAGCCCGGAAGTATTCTACTAATGTAGCACTAACCCGACTTTATTAAAATAATTTGTTTGCATAGCAAATATATTTAAAGATTGCACTCGTATACCTCACCGTGTAAAATTTTGAAACCATCATCACTTTCATACACGGATAGAAATCTCCTTATACCTTTTGGCAAATTTCTATTGCTGATTATTCATAAAATGTATAAGTCAACTAATAAGCAGGCGCCTTGTAAAAAGTTAATGAAGATCATGTGTCAAATGAAATGTATAAGCGGTGACACATACCTTTTATGCATTCTTATTCGACCTAGGTGGTTTGTCTTATGGAATGTATAAGGCTGATGTTTTGGCAAAAATGTATAAGTGAAACACATGAATAAAATAATTGATTTTCGTTTCGTGTAGTTCTTCTATTATCCACGAGTGCCAACTTTGATTAGCCAATGGAACCAAACAGAATACCACACTGAAAAAATAAACCATATAAGGTTTATGTGTGAACTGATATAGATTTTTGCAATAGTACCTCGCTAATACCATGTATGTGTTAGACACATAATCTCAAGATTTTTTTTTGAATATGAATTTTATAAGTGATGACTTATAAATTTTAACTTTCCCAATCATAATCTTTAATATTTATCTTTTAATATGAAAAAATAAGACGTTTAATATTTATTCGACATTCTCTTCAGTTTTATTAGTTTTTAGGAATGAAATTTATAACCTGTAATAGTAGGTTCCGTATTTTATGCGTATTCATTAATTTAAAAAAAAAACATTTCATTACCAAAACTACATTATGCAGTTATCAGAAGTATGGACAAATAAAACGAATATTATATACAGCTACTTTTATTTAATTCACCACACTTTTGAATGTATAATTATATTTTAGGTTTTGGTAAAAAGGTCATTGGTTTATAAACTATTAACAACATTTATTATAATAGCATTTATAAACTATTAGAAATGATTCTTAAGCTATAAATCCATAGTTACAAAATCGGTTTTTTTCCTAAATAATTGCTTGTTCTGCACATTGTAAACCATTATCGGTGGCCCGTCAGTATCTATCAAGTTCAGTATGAAATATTTACTGCTAACATCAACTACGCTATAAGATAAAAAGTGCTCATCGAATTCCCCTACTATCCATTGTCGTCCAACTACAAATAACTCGGTTGTATCTATGATAAGCATATCTACTATTTCATACAAATTAACGGTTTCTATCTCTGTTTTAGTAATGAAAGTTCCTACTTTAAATTCGGTTCCTTTGAATTTGATTTTGTCAGCACATTCAATTTTTCTATTCATGTTAAAAGGTAATGGCAATAGCAACGATTTAAAATAAGCTTTTGACTCCAGTTCACACCGTAGTAGTTTTCCTTCTAAAGGGCAGTTGAAAAACTGTTCGTTATGAAGATCGTTAGAAAATTGTAATGCTGCCTTCATGCATAATGTGAAGCATATATTTTTTCGTGAGGTAATGATATGTGCATATTCTTTGAAACCTTTATGTTTAGCTTCATTTCTGAAATTCATCATGTTGACTACATTTCCACTAGTCTTAATTACAGAACCGTAATGGCATACGAAATGATGTTTTGGTTTAAGGTGTTCATCGAATAGGTCCTGATATAATGTGTGATGTACTTTGCACAGTTCGCTTATCTCATCAATATCACCCAAAGAAAACGTTTGATTTAATATTTTTTCGGTGAGTTTTACTAGAACTTTACAATAGTTCCAAACAGGATCGTTAGGAGGAACAAACGGGCCCATGATAAGCAGAAAATAGTGCAAAAACGCCTTTATTTCACTAGCTGTAGCTCGCATCACAACGGAACGTTCTTTTTTGCGTGCCACAAAAGTATCACTTATATCCGGCATTCTTCGCAGCGATGAGTCTAGAGCTATTTTACTAAAAACACTTTTGGCCACATTGAATGCTTTGAGAGAAACAAATCTTTTTTTAAATATACAATAATTAAGAACAGCAGTCAGCCCGAAGCAACATACTCCATTGCTGAAGAAGTCATGCATTGGGTCAACTGATATATTCTCAACTGCATGGAATGATGGCAATCCATTAAGAACCGTTTCTCCTCTTACACCTGTTTCTGATGGACTTTGCATGCTAACATCTACATCGTAATTATCAATATTTCTAATGAAGTCCAAGCATTCCTGAGTATCTTGTTGGCACTGTTCACGACTCCGTTTACAAAAACGACAATAGAAATTTGCGTTAAATGATAGAAACTGTAACAATTGGTGCATACCGAGATTATCACCCTGAAGCAACGTTGTTACAAGTTTAATTTCTTTACTAACCCCATTGACTTTATATGTAAGCTGTTGTTGTTCAATGTCCTTAAATGCTTTCACAACATGCTCGAATAATGTATTGAACCCTACGTCATTTAAATCTACTTTTTTTATCATTGCAGCAACAAAAATGTTGCATAGTTTTGACCTATATTCATCGGGATTCGTAGGAATGGAATAATATACTCCACAAACAACATGTTTCTTGTTGTGCGAGCTGAGACTGTCATTAATTTCGAATTCGTCCGCGTACAATGAAATTGGTATCAGCATTACATCAGGATATTTCTGTTGAATCGCTTTCCATCTACTTCCAGTAACAATGCTATTTATTGAATCGGATTGCTGGTGCTTAGTGATCTGTTCCAAGATTGCGTTCAAAATATTTGGACAATTTAAAAATGATTTCAACTGAAATTCAATATCCATAATAGCAAGATAACTGTTTTCTTCTTCAACTATTGCGCCTATCTGATTATGAATAACAGTTCTATTATTTTCGACAGTTATAATTTTTGGAGGATGGAAAATATTGTTGTCTTGTAAGTACTTCAGAAACTTATACTCGGTGTCAATAGAATCAAATGGAGATTTCAATTTATCTAGATAACTTTTCAACTCGAATTCAATCTGGACTTCAGAAGTAACACGTGGAAGTAGTTTTTCTATCTCGGTGACAATATTTGAGTTCAGTTTGGCTGTTTGATTTTGAACATTTTTTACATCACTGCGCGATAAGTTCGTTTCGCTATGTAGTTTTAATGTATAGTTTACAGCAGAATGTAGGAACTTATCAATATTATCGGCATACACCGTACTTTTTGGTTCAGTATCATTTACAGAAGATGAAGTAGATCCAAGAGAATTTTGATTATTGGCTACTACAGCAGTCGCTATTTGTATTTGGTCAATTTGATCAGAAGGTTGAGGATACTGAGGTAAATCTTCTACATGTCTTAAAATATGACGTTTGAAAACATACCAATTGGCTAGCTTTTGATAACACCCTTCGTACGTACAAATATATCTGTATACTCTAGGAACTCTATGTATGTCAAATAGATGATCTAAATAAAGGTACGCTGATTTAAAACTAGCAGGGCATTCAGGAATCATACACGTGATCATATTTAGTCAGGTGACAAGTATCTTCTTAGCTTATTGATAGATTCGTACTGCTCTTGAACAGGAAGCTCATACACAAATATGCAGATAAAATTCCATACGAGTCTGGAAATTCGTGAGTATTCCAGTCCAAAAATGGTATTTAGCTTAACGAGTACGTCAATTGCTCTTGCCGCTGTATCAAGCTTGTACGTAACCCCTTTGTAGTACACCTCGAATACTCCAGTCAAGGACCTTATGTTTTGACCTCGGAATAAGAGACGTGCAATGGGTGAAAATCCAAATTGGGTGTAAGTCGAGTTCAGTTCATCAATTTTTTCCAAAGCCTGCTCATCAGTGTCTGCAAACAAGATGATATCCTCTTGTGCTGACAAGATCGATGGCTTGAAGGTTTTTGTTACCTTTGTTGGTCTCAGGAAGTTGTTTAAAAGCAGAAGGATGGCACTAATTTGTTCACCTAAAACAAAATGAGTTAACTTTAAATTAATTTTTATAATAAATGTGCATCTTACATTGGTTCAGGTTTGGTGATTTTAAAAATTCTAAAATGGACTTGGATAGACCGTCTTTATACGGTTTATCAACGTACTGAATGATCTTTGGAAGAACAGATTCCCACTTCTTCAAACCTTGACCATTTCCTACATCCAGCAACCGAAAATCTTCGTCAATCTGAAAATAAACGTTGAATGAAATGAATTAATTAACCTAGTTGATTAAATTAGATTACTCGACAACCAGCATAAATAAAATACCATATTCTCAATTTTCAGCACTAGTTTCCTGGTTGTTAATAAAATTTGCTCGCTTTATTCATGTTTAGACATGTTGAGTATAATTTTAAACTCGATTTTAAATCTACTTTTAGTAAATTGAGTTTTAACAAAAAATAAATCATAAATACTAAATTTTTAGTTGCATTCATTGACCGTGTCAAAAGGTAATCAAAACAACACAAGTGCATAATTTTTCATTACGATTTTCAAAGGCGGACAATAATTGACCAATTAGGTTTTGCACCGTCGGGGTTAACCTCAATCTGATGACAGTTCAGTGGTACTGTTTACGTGGACTTAGTCGATTTTTTCTTGGGTGGATTTTCTCGATATTTTTTCAGACTGCAGTGAGATGTAAACTAAAGAGGCTGAATTTATAAAGAGACGACATGTCAAAATTGGAACAATCGATTGTCTGTCAAAGTCATAGGAAAAGTCATTCCAATCGAGCAGAAGACCTGTCAAATGGATAAGATGTCACCTCTTTATAAATTCAGGCTCTTTAATGTAAACCACACTTCTGCAATATCCACGAGCAACATCCTTTCAACGCGCTGTTCCTCGACAATTTTCAAGTTAAAATTCGGAAATTTTAGAAAAATTTTTTTTGAAAAAATGACTAAGTGCTTGTAAACAGTACCACTGAACTGTCAAAAAGGTTCAGCCGATTAACACTGAGTTCATTTATGACGTCACGCTGCAGTACCTAATGCACAGAATGAACTGCACGAAGAAATTTGACGTTTGAGCAGTGCCGTGTTTACTAAAAATGAACACATTGATAATGCTCGCGTAACATTTAAAAATGGCCCATCAACTTCTGTACACAAAGCTTGGTAAGCCCTTTTCGCGCGAACCGAAGTACGCCCACGCAAACCAACAACACCATCGGGGAGGGTAAATTCTCCCCTTCCCGATAAAGCTCTTGGTTTGCGTGGCTGTTCTTTGGTTCGCGTGAAAAGGGCATAAGAAGTTGTTAATAAAAGTTGATTGGCCCTTTTCTAAAGTTACGCAAGCCTTACATCATGTGTTCATTTTTAGTAAACGCAGCACCGCTCAAACGACAATTTTTTTCGTGAGATCATTCCGTGCATTGGTCAATAGTACACCTATAGTATACCAACTTACCAACTGGTATCCAAACTCATCTCCATAATGATGAAAATCCTTGAAAAGTTTCTCGCTCTGGTCAGGCTTCATGAGCTGTGGTTTGCGGGCAGGGAACGATACTATCCATTTTTCCAGTGTTGTTCCCCATGGTTTTGTGTTTTGTCCCAGCCATAAAACCGCGTCAGTTGCAGCTGGATCCAGAGCACATATCGGGTCTGTTTTCTTCTTAGAGCCACTCAAATGTTGCTGCTCCTTCAACTTCCGCTTAGTTATTTTTTGTTTGCTGTTGACGATCCGGTTATAAATTTTACCTCCTGGATTTTTCTTCGCTCCTCCTCGTTCAATGAAGTAGGTTTCCTGAAACGTAACTGAATGTTAATAATCACATCAATATCATAACATAAATAGATTTACCTTCGATTCACTTTTAAAGAGTGCTGTGATTGATGTAGCGTATTCGTCTAGAATTCTTTCGGATGCCTGTAATCCCTTCTGGTAGTGGTAATCAGCGATGATTGAAACCAGTTCCCGCTGACTTTCTGTCGTCAATGGACCCAGATTTCCTCTCTCTATGATTTGTTTTCCGGTGATCGTGGAATCCAGCAGTCCTGATAGAATCGATGGTGTGAAATGGTGATTTGAGCATTCAATCACCGAAAACTCGGAGGCAGTTTTCTTTCCGTTGGCTATTCCTAATTTTACTTGAACATCATCGAGATGACATTCATGGGTTTCAGTTGCAGAACTTTCGACGGAATCTGAACATTTTTTATGTTGCGGACAACTGATGTCGGTGGAAATTTGTGCATCAGTTTTCTTTGATGAGCAGTCTACAAGCACGGCTGGAAGACATCCAGTTCGTGAAGAAACGGTATTGTCAGATCCGGAGGCCAGAACCCTTCTTGGAATGATGTTCAGCGGTACGAGAGAATTGATTGATTTCACTGAATTGATGTGATTTGAGTCCTTGACTGCTTTGATCTTATTTTCCTTACCGGGTTCTTGAGGATTTGAAGCAGTGACAGCGACAGGCACGCGAGGTTTTGCTGTATTCGTGTAGCAGGAATCTACTTGTTTTTCCCGAGAAATTTCCTGACTGTTCTCCTCCGCGGATACTTCTTCGTTTTCTTCAACTGGTATTTGTTGTTCTTCTCCTGCTTCTTCGATCCAGAACTCTTCTACTTCCACTTTGGTGAAATCTATTATCTCGTAGCCCTGTAAATTATAGAAAATTATAAGAATTAATCTCTTGAAGGCTATTCAATTCTATCTTAATTCAGCTTACGTTTTGTTGTCGCCAACGAACCAAACGTCCAAATATTTCATCGACATCCCACTGTGTCCAAGAGATATTTTCGCTCGTCAATAACGCATTTGTTAATTCGTCTTTTGATACGCGAATTAAAGCTAGCATATCAAAACCTAGCTCTAAATAGAAGAGTTAGTAGTATTTATTTGATTTCAAATTAATTGCAGAATATTACCTTCAAAAATCGATAGGACTTCTCGTGGTAAATCAAGTTCCTTTATCACGACGGATTCCAAACTGTTAACAGACGCCATTTCAGCGTTATGCTTCCGGTATGATTAGAATTTCTTTATTCATTTTCCATACTTATCAGATGTATGTGTGGAATGCTATGGATTTTAACTATTAAATTTGACACATACTTTTCAATTGTGTGGTTTTTATTTGACATTAAGTGATCAATTGAAACACACTAAGAAACTTGTATTGATTATAAAGCTCACATAAACTTTATATTCCACGAGTTTCGATTATTTTATATGTCATAGCTAATAAAAAAAAAGTTTATATTTTTTGTAGTGCAAGTCAAGGGCAGGCATAAGTTCCACTTGAGATAGTATTAAGAGGCAACTAACCATCACTCGATTTGCTTTTGCTTCTTCTTCTTGTATTCCTAAATCATCACTTTCTAAAAGTATTGGTAAAATTCGTTGATAGCGCATGACATGACACACTGCCAGTATGACATTTTGTTTACACCCCTGAGCAGGAAAGTCAATAACAGGCTAGGGGCTGTTCATAAACTACGTAGACAGTTTTTTTGGGATTATTGACTCCCCTGCCCCTGCGTAGAAAATTGTACATACAAAAAATTTAAATTTGTATGGGCCGTGGATAATTTTCAACCCCCCTTCCCCTCTAAATTGGCTACGTAGTTTATGAACAACCCCCTACATGCAATGGTGCGTTGAAAATTCGTATTTGCATGTTTTGATAAACTTATATTCACTGCTAGAGGTAATACATCTGGCAACGCTTGTTCAATGATTATTTTACGTCCGATAGCAAAGAAGTGGAGTCGAAGTGATTTTCTTTGTGTTTTATTTTATGTATTCGATTAGGTGAAATTGCAGTATGCTACGAAGAACACAAGTAAGTAAATGCAGTGATGGTGTTTTATCCAGAAAATATACGATATTCAATCATAACATACTTGCTTTTAATTTTCAGATGGCTTGTGTGTATTGAATGTATGTGTATACTAGAGTGGATCATAGTTAGATGGAAAAACGCAAAATTTACCGCACCAATCGAGAACAACCCTTTTTTGGTTCCATTTGGAGTCCCAGAAACTGTGCAAAATTTGGGGACGATTGGTTGTAACTCGGTTTTCCGCATTGCGTTTGAAATTTGTATGGAAATTAGTATGGGAAAACCTGGGAAAACCAACTTTTTTGCATTTTTATCCCTAGACACCACATTTTGCATAAACCGTGCAACTAAGTATGTATAAATATAGTCCAGGAAGTGCCTAACAATTTTGCAGAAGGAAGTACAGTGCTAGAATATATCTAAAAAAGTTATGCCTATTTGAATATTTATGGTTTGAATTAAACACCAAAAATCCCTTTTTCTGCCAACACTGCCGGTGTACCAATCGAAGTCAGATTCCTAACTGAAATAATATCGGAGTTTCTTATTTTACCGATTTGGTATGTTCAGATGAATTATTCATAAACAATAGCTCTATCTCATTTGTGTAGTTAGAGAGGGGGGGGGGGGGGGGTTAATAATATACGCCATCCTTCTCACTCATATCAATAGTTTCAGTTTGAAATAACTTCGGAGTTTCTTATTTTATCGATTTGGTATGTTCAGGATGAATTATTCAAAAACATTTGCTCAATCTCATAAGCGTTGTTAGACAGCGGGGTGTAGGGGAGGGGGGAAGGACTTTTTTTTCCTCTGTTCGGGACCAAACACTACTGCGACCAGTAAATTGATCTATTGTAGTATATCCCGTGTCCTTAGTTTAGTGCATGTCGTATTACTCCATCACTATTGAGAAATGATGAAGTATTCGATTTTTTTACAGTTGCCACTCTTGCATTTATCGCAAGGATCCGACTCTAATTGAAAGGTCCCGCTATTTATACCCTTCGGAGTGTTGAAACACCCTCCAAAGGCGCACCCCTTTGTCAGTCAAAATTGGATTCCTTAGCAACAAAATTAAGGTATGACACCGATAATGACCATGCATCAGAACCCTAGTCTTAACCACTTCAAACTAGGGAACAACGAATAGAAGATTAGGAATCACATAGATGAAAAAACTAAAATTTCGGTTGAAATTTCGACCGGCTTCATGCAAAAACCGGCAAACGAGTGGAGTAACAGTAAAAGATTATTTCAATGCGATACAACGAGTTGTTTCCATGATGGTTGTCAAAGATATGGCTGAATGAGGGGTGAAGCAAATTTCTGACTTATCAAGAAATCCACCCGAGACCTAGTTCAACAGCAATATTTGCTTCAAGGGATAGAACAGCATCGAAAAGAGAACACTGAGAAATCGTAGAATATATTAAAATGAAATATAATCATAACAATCCAATGACATTTGTGTGAATATATCTTACATTGTATATTGCACCAAAAGAGTAGGGAAGAGAATGGTAGTACTCGCTTTACAACTGCTCTTATGAGATTAAGCATATGTTTTTGAATAACCCATCCGAACAACTCGAGAGATGGGAAACTCCGAAGTTATTTTAGTCTTTATCTTTACTTTCATTGATATAAGTGAGGGCCGGAAAGCATACAGTAAGCCCCCTCCATATCTAACTACGCTTTTAAATGGAGCACATGTTTTTGATATATTTGAACATACCATCTTGACAAGATCAGAAACACCGAAGTTATTGCAGTTTGAAGCCTTACCTCTATTTATATGGGAGGGGGGGGGGGGCGTTGGTACAGTTAGCCCCCTTTCATCTCTTAATATGCATATGAAATTGAAAAATTGTTTTTAGATAATTCATCTGAACATACCAAATCGATAAAATAAGAAACTCCGAAGTTATTTCAGTTTGAAACTTTACTTCTATTGATATGAGTGACCCCCCATCACCCCTCCGACTACGCATATGAGATAGATCTATTCTTTTTGAATGTTTCATCTGAACATACCAAAAAGAAAAAATAATTAACTTCGAATTTCGAGTCTGACTTTTATTGGTACACCGGCAGTGTTGGCAGAAAAAAAGGATGTTTGGCAATTAATTCGAAACATTGATCTTTGAACAGCTATAATTTTTTTAGGGGCATTCAAGCAAAAAACGTTTTCCAGCAAAGTTATTGGGCACTTTCTGGACTATACTTTAACGTATTTAGATGCGTGGTTTGTGCAAAATTGTGGTCCCAAGTAATAAAGATGCAAAAAAGTAGGTTTTCCGATACTAATTTCCATACAAATTTCAAATGCAATGCGGAAATTCGGGTTACAACCAATCGGCCCCAAATTTGGCACAGTTGTTTGGGACCCCAAATGGAACCAAAAAAACATTGTTCTGAAAAAATGATCATGACGACCCATCCTAGTGTATACTAATGACGATGATTGAAGAATATATCAAAAACAAGAAGAATCCGAATTGATTGACGATGTCTTGAGCCTTAATTAGAATGGACGGTTATCTCATAACTCAACCGATATAGTGGGTCTAGAACCAAGTGCACCTAGGAACGCAACACTTTAATTTTTTATGTTACTCTTTTAATTCATGGCTGGTGAGAAAAATCGGCAGTGAATTTCAATTTAAACATTCAAATGCCCACAGGATCCCAAAATAACGTGTGAATCGATTCACACGTGCACTGTCAGAATCATATATAATTTATTTATGTTAATTTGATAGAGGTATGCATGATTGGTACAGGCAGTGCAGTCGTGGCCAAACGAAATCGCGAATATTGGATCAACTACACACATCAAGCCGATGTGATAGTTTATAATAATCGAAAGCGTTTGATTTGCGGAAAACGTCGATTATTCAAATATAGTTTGCGTGGCAACCACATGTTTGGCTGCAAGAGGGAAATGATTGACTAAACTATTTGATTTTAGAGTTCTCTTCTCAAAGAGTGAATTAATATTAAAGAGTATGGAAATTGGACTTGTGGTGTTGAAGGTCGGGGGCTAAAACTGAATGCCCAAAAATCATAGAAAAGGGGCCCATCTCCCTGGATAAGTTGTGAACAATATCCGAGTTTCGAAAAAAAAAAAACTCTTCGGATGCAGGAAACTATCACTTCCGCTATACATACCACGGGCACATAGGTTCAAGGCAAAGATGGAGGATTTTATGAGACTCATAAAGTTGTCACCAAGACTGTATTCTAGCGTTTGATAGACTAATAAATTTATCCGGCAAATGTTCCTTGTTCTTGATGTGATGAAGTGTCTCACCATCGGGGACCGGGTAGTTAATATCAATCAAACTAGGTCAAGCTGGTATTATGCGTGTCGGCTGGCGTGGCGTGGCACTATGTTTACCACGCTCATTGTGCAGTAGTTTATGAACTTTTAATCTACTTCTTCTTCTAGATTCTATGATTTAACGTCGGGCTGTTCCGAAATCTAGTGCCAATCAACGACGGACATCGATTGCTATCCATTGTCCACACCTGGGTGGATATCGCACTCAAACACAGGGGGCGGCACCAACGGCTTTATTTCCCTTCCGAAGGAAGATATGACTAGAGATTTTTTAACCTCAGAAAATCCCAACGACCTCGGCAGTCATGCGCACCACTTTGCCACCGGTGCCATTAAATTTGAATCTTGAGCTATCAGAAACATTTTTTCCGGTTACTCTACTAAGCTTTATGCCGCGGATACACCTGTATGACCTACTATGAGCATGATAATTATTTGTATAATAATTATGAGCACTATACAACAACTATATCCAAACCACAGACAGACAGCCATAACTCTTAGAAGAAAATTATTCAAAAAATATCGTCAAGCGTATTTTGCATGCGCACTAGCACCATCTGTCATCCACATTCCCAAGCAATGTTATGCTACCGGAGCATCCCTCGTGTATACAATTTTTTCACTAGTTGCTTTTCAACGCGTCAGCTGTGTTGAATAAAAACAAAATAGATGGAAGTCAGTGATGTCGGTTCTACGAAATTTTTCCGAAGATCTATAGAATTGATTGAATTCTGCAGAAAAACGGATCCGTAGGAAAAAATCTCAGAAGCTAAGATTTTTTTTTAGGGATTTGTTTTGTTTGCTTAGAGTGCTTTTTCTTCTGCTAGAAGCAAGGTAATGCATCACTTATTAGTGCCCTTTCTACCACCGCTCATCACTTCAATGTGTACACAGAAGAAAAAAAAATGTATCAATCAATGATATTCATGGTGAAATATTGAAGATCAATAACTGGTAAAAATGGATAGAATATTACAGTCATCAACATGTTTTGTTCTCGAATTCTGTGTACATCGTACAACGTAATATTAGGAACGGAATGACTAATGTGCAGCAGTGTTGATGTAATATTCAACAACTTTTTTGTCTGTATTCGTCAGATGTGGTATGTGTCTACAGTGGGATGCCTTGATCACTTAACATTTTCAAGAGCTGACATCTACTAACTAGATGTGAAAAAGAACTGGCATCACTGATAAGTTCGAAATGTAGGGGCTTGCTCAATGCTTCAGTGGCGCCATCATGACAAATGCAAGCACATTCCCAACTAAAAGATTATTTGCGCTGAATGTGTTTGTGAGTGTTATGTCTGTTTGTCTGTGTTCAAACTATACAAGTGTGACCATGGATGTGGTCATAACCCAAGCAACATACATCCAGCATAATAAGTTGCTGCAACTTAATTGTGACTGAAATGAGATACATACAAGTAACGACAGCTATTCAGTGACAAGTGTGCTTCTAGGGAATTTATTATACAAATAATGCTCATGCTCATACCTAACTAACAATTTTCACAATGTAAACGATTAACTAATGTCATTTATACAGCCTCAAGCTGTATTCAAACGTTATACGATATGAGGAAACTTTTACTCAATCTCTATACAAACAAGCAAATCTGGCAAACCTAGTCAGCTACTTATGGCTGTTGGGACTGTTGGGACAAGCTCTTATTGCATATATCCAGTGTTGGAAAAGTTAGCGATGTTTCACGAAGTTCACCAAGGGAAAAGTTCGCGAGTCATAGTGAGTTTTCGTGAACTTTTCCATCACTGCATATATCCATTTAACGCTTCTATACAACTGTTATCCTGCTGTTTAGTTATGTGTGGACTTGAAAGGCGCTTATTCAACCTTTTCCCGGTTATCCACTAATCACTACACAGCTTTGTCTTGAAGCCGGGATAAATATTGTCTACGCTATTTTTTAATGGAGGAATTGATTGAGTTTATATTTTGCTGTAAATCAAATTAATCCAAATTAGTTACAAGCAACACACCACCAAATTATTTACCCTGCACCGGAATCTGGAATCGAACTCGAGACGACCGCATTGGCAATCCTTCACACTACGAACTGTGCTACGCTAACACTTTGAACTGATGTAAAAAAATCAACATGCCCTTCTACAACAAAATCGTTGAGTAGAGGCTTTATAATAGTGCACATGACTCACTTTTCTCGACTAGTTACTTCACCTTTGTAAAGGAGCAGAGTAAAAGCTGTAAAACTGCACACGTCTAAAAATAAACCTAGCTGACTGTAAAAATGCGTCCAAAGTAGCGCTATCACAGTTTATTAGCTGAGTACAGGTTGTTCAGTTGTTGAAAAAACTTTTTTTTTTTTTTTTTTTTTTTTTTATCTAACGTTGGTTTCTGTTCCGCAATCTAGTGCCAATCACCGACGGACATCGATTGCCATCCATTGACGGCAATCGAATGTGCAGGAAGGCAGCTTCCACCCCTGCGTAGGATATCGCACCCATTCATTTAACACACATGGGCCGGGACGAACGGCTTTACTTCCCTTCCGAAGAAAGACGTGACCAGAGATTTTTATGCCTCAGAAAAATCCCACCGACCTCGGCTGGGATTGAACCCAGACCCATTGGGGTGTTAGAAAGCAGTCACGCCTACCACTACACCATAGGCGCCGGCTAAAAAAAAAAAAAACACTTTTGATGTTAATGTTATTCAGCAAGAGTGGTTGGTTGTGTAGAAGCCATCAAATGAGTTTGTTTTGCAGTTGATTAGGATGTGTATAAAAGTGACATTAGCGTTTATTGGTTGCTGTTATTCAGTGAGACTGGCAAATTGAATAATGGTTGTGAAAAAGTTGAGTAAACGCTCTTCAAAACAATTTTGCTAGATTCTGATGGTAGCTGTATCTGCAGCTTTTTTCAGCTACTTTACAGTACAATGCTGCAAAAGTTGGCTAACAAAGCTGAAAATGTTAGTTGGGTAGTTTGTCATCTATGTGTATCGGTGGCATTACGCTCACAGAAAGTACACCCAACCCAAAAGATTTGCTTACAATAATGAGGGATGTTAGTGAAGACCTTATGAACGGAGATATACCAAGCTGCGGTCCAATGCAAGAAAATAGAGAAAGAAAAATGTGGATTGTATTAGAAAGTATATTGAATCCTGTCGAAAAAAATAGAAAAAGGTTGCCCGACTGGACTCAAACCACGAACATTGCGAACGTTGCACTGCTGCATCTCCATGCTTCGGAATACGGATAGACTAAAAGCGAATATGAAGAGCTCATAGTAGGTACCTGGGGTAACATGCACCGTTCCGCTTCGATTTGGATGTATTTGTCCAAATTTGAGTGGCTGTTGATGTTATTATTGCCAATGGAGTCATCTTTCGATGATTCTTTTGATTCTACTGCAGGTATCGCTTTATCCTTGGGACTATCCATCCGAAGCAGCTTGTTTGGATCATTGCATTGAAGACTATGCGACAACTGATGGGGACTTTTCTCCGATAAAGCATCCATAGACTCAATTCCACTGTCTTCACCTTGTGCTTGAGATCCGGGTGGTCCACGCCAGTAAGTGTTCACTGGCATTAGCTATCGTTGGAGGTTGCTGTTGACTGATGGATTGTTCTAACGTATTAGCGGGTGAATCGCCAGTCTTTTCCGGTGGACGATTGTGATGGTGTAGATGGGTGTTGTTTACCCGCTGATTGATGGACACTTCTGAACCTGAGGTAGTGGTTGCTGTATTGTTGCTTGTTTTGTTACTTTCATTGTCCTTCTCATCGGTATCCCCTGTGGTAAGGTCGGAATCACCTTTTCCCGGCGGTTTGCCACTGTTTGCCGTCTCTGACGAAGGGGATGACGATGGTTGTTTTGTTGAGGACTGCGTCGAGCTCTTAGGCTGTGAACCATTTGCCGAGTTAAATTTAACTCGTGGTTAAAAGTGACATTTCGAAAGTTATTTCTTATGTTCGAAAATCCCCGTGCTATCGATCGACCGGTTTTCGAGCCACGGTCGTCAAAATTTAACTTCTTGTCTGTCAGAAGTAACCACGCTCGGATAGCAGGGTTAATCGATAACTTTTCATCTGTCAAATTTTAACCAAAAGTTAAAATAATCCACCAAATGGTTCAGAGCCTTAGTATTCGGTGCAGCAACCAGAGCTCCAGGCGATGACACGGACGACGTCGTTGGGATCGACTGCGCTGGCTTTACCTTTTGCTAATGCATTTGCCAAACGCGCTGTTGTTGATACTGTTGTTCGTGCTGGAGCTCTTCAAGTTTTTTGCTGACGACGTTGCCGCTGCTAACAGAGATGAGTGTGGCAACGTGCCAACGTTTGTCGACCCAATATGGTGTTCGAGATCAGTGTCTCGTAAATTTCATTGATTTCATTTATACTGGTGGCTGCACTACTACTACTACTACTACTGCTACTATTACTTGCACTTATGCTCGACTCGTCCGTTGTGCTAGTATGTTGTTGGTTCGTGCTAGAACCAGTGCTAAGACGTCGCTTTTTCTCAGGACACATCATTCCATTGAGACTCAGAAATAAGTCCGGCGCTGAACGTTTATGTTGCTGGTCCAACGGGACCAACAGGTCATTTGCCGTCAACGTCAGATCTTCCATTTTATTCGATTTAGCTTTGAGACCGGCAACAGCAGCTATCGACGTAATCAGCGAGTTACTGCTTCCACTGTTGCCAATACTATTGTGGTTGTGATGATTCGGTGAGGATGGCATCGAAGAATGTCCGGACGTCCCAGACAATGCAGCGTCATCGACTTTTAACCGAATGCTTACATCGCTAGTCATTACCACCGTTAGTCGGCTGTCCGTGGAATGACTACTTTGTTTGATGGAGCTTTTCCTACTCAGCTGAAAATTGTTCCCATCACTATCCTCTTCACCACCGCTTTGACTATTTTTCCGATCATTTTTCGAATTCTTTATGACCACAGAGTTTTTCCCTCGTAAACTGATGTGTAAATGGGGCACTCGTAGCTCCTCGCCAGCGGGTGATTGCGTTTGAAGACTCGAACTGGCAGTGCTGATATCGGCACTGCCAGTTCGTGCCAGTGAAAGTACCAGTGAAAGTATCCAGCAAACAATTTGAGCTGATTAAAAGCTGAATAAGCTATCTTTTAGCTAAAGAAGCATAATTTTGCCTGAATAAGCTCTTATTCAACTTTCAATGTTTGTTGGGTACTACCGAGAACTTGCTGTGAGTATAAGAGATACGGATTTGACTTGTTAACAAAAGTTGTAGCTAATAACAAAACCTACAAAAGCTCTTTACATCATTTTGCGGAATGCTGTTGAAGAGTAAAGTTAGGGGCAAATGAATGTAAATGAATGCACGAAATGAATGCAAATGATTTTCCATGCCTGGCTGCAACTGTTGTGGCATGACATTGCCAACAGGTACGGACGACGAGGAAGAATAAGAGAACAAACTCGCAGATAATGACGCCTGCAGTGACGTCAAACCAATATTTATTTATATATTTTATATTTTCCGTCCTTCAGCTTCTCCTTTTTCACCGTTGGATAGCTTTCCCACCGTAGCTTCAGTGACCGCCCCGGGAACGGCATTTGAAAACCCACTCGAACCCGCTCCGTCCATTGTGTTGGACCGTTCGGTGTCGCTGATGTCGGAGGTGAACTTTGAAAATCCCGTACTACACGACGTGTCATCGTCCGAGTACAATAATAAAATTCCGGAAAACTCTTCGATGTTTCCTTCTTCGTTCCGGTTTCGGAAGCCCGCCGGTGGCTGCAAGGGATCGCTCGAGATCAAGGTCCACCCCATCCAGAAAAGCTCCCTCTAGATCAGCAGAGTTTAACCAACAGTGAATACGAAGCTATCGATTTGAAATTTGCTTGACTAGCCTATTGGTCCCAAGCAAAATTCCAGTACTACACTATGTTTGTTTTGATTCGCTATGAAAGTTTGACAGATACAATGAGGGGTTCGTGGATTTTCCTAGGTTTCGAGGGGTGCATCGATTAGCTTGGGACCGAAGATAGTACCAGAGCTGAGCCAAAAAGTTGAGCTCGTTTCTTCGGGACCTTCTGGTCTTAGAGTTACCTCTATGGTTTGACGCCGGTAGGAGCGAATCTAAATCGTTCTTCCCCAAATTCGGAAGGTCTCCGAGGCCTAGAAGATCACCGCCAGTTGCTGATGCACCCTGTTGTGGGTGTTCCAGATGTTGTTTACTAAGATTGTACTTCAACTGATATCGGGTGAATTCCTGGTAGCTGGATTTTGTAGCAGAGTCCATAGGGTTTGGGGCAGCCCATCGAGGATTGAACGGTTGTTGTTGTAGTTGTGATTGCACTGCCTGAGGCTGTCTGAAGGGGACATTATGCTGCTGTGGCTGGATTGGAATGCGTTTGTTGTTGTTGCGGTTGATGATGCGATTGACTTCCTTTGTTTTAAGCCCAAAATATATTTTTACAACAAATTACAAGTTAAATCTATGTTTGCTTTAGACACCGTATCAATTTGGCAGCTCTATGTTATCAGATAATGTAAATAAAAACAAAAACCAGTTTGCATTGAATATAGTGTCATTTTCTCCTCCACATTGTTAAGACTTTTTAGCCATCCAAACATTATTAAGCATCGGTGAAAGATATTACCCATTTGACTGAGGTAGGAGCTACATCTTCCAGTTTAAATACTAGTAAGTTTTAATATGTATTTATATTTTATGATCAAAAACTTTTTTTAAACATTCGGGGCAAAATGCACTCCTAAGTTCGGGGCAAAATGATCCTTTGGTAAAAAAAGCTTTGTTTACGTTCTTTTCTTTCTTCAAAAATGGTCCGCAACGTTCTGAAGTCTACTAAGCGGTCATGGACCTTTGAACAACTCAAGCTGAACATTGCATTAGGTCCTAAGTAACATTGACAGATTTTCTTCGTCGACTTTCTTTTTGTATCCCCACGGCCATGTAAAGACATTCCCAGGTATTTTCAGCACACAGATCGATAAAAGAAGCTTTTATCTAGCATCTTATACGACAAACACAACAAGAAACGTTTATGTGCTCAAGTTATTAACGAAAGAGAAAGTCGACGAAGAGAATCGATCAATGTCACTTAGGACCTAATGCAATGTTCAGCTTGAACTAAGCTTTTTCTGCGAACGGGAATTGGAGTGCGGGGAACTCGTGGCAAGTGTGTGAGTCGTTCTAAAATATTACACATAAAATGCTTGCTTGCATCCTCCGGGGTAATCGCTGCGGAGGATAATAGGATATGCAACTAACATTCAATGTAATACATTTTTGGTTTGTGTGCAGTAAAAATCAAAGGAAATGTATGGAAATGTGTTGTTTTGTTGTTGAAATAGCAATGTTTTCCAAAAAAATAATAAACAGGAAATGTGTAATGGGATGAGATACTAATACCTATGTGTACCATACTAGGGTGGGTCATCATGATCATTTTGTACAGAACAATGTTTTTTTGGTTTCATGTGGGGTATGTTGATACACAGCAAAAAAATAATTTTGATATCACATCAAAGTGGATGCACTACAATCATGTCGAAAATTTCATGTAATTTTTATGACCACATAAATAAACAAATGCAGTAAAAGCAGCGTAATGTCAGTTCATGCATCGTATTAATGATAATTTTGTCCTTTTTAGCAAGTAATATTACACCATATTTTCGACATGATTGTAGTGCATCCACTTTGACGTGATATCAAAATTATTTTTTTGCTGTGTAGTTGTTGATCGGATCAGCACCGAAGCATAAATACAATACGGAACAGCACCATTTCATTTACACAGTTAATCACAGGTAATCACTGGCATTTTGAATCACGGAAAATGTGCTCCAATTACGGGACAAACTATCATACATACATTATTAATTTAAATTTCTTCCAAATTTTCAAACACGACAAAGAAAACAAACGTCACGTCCGTACGCATGCACAGCCTACTCTCCATGCATGCAATTATTCAGGCATGTAAACTTCCTTTTAACGTAAAAAACAACAGCTTGCAAGAAATGTTGCAAACATCATATGGAATATTGCATGACATGTCTCATAAGCTTACACGATCTATAATGTAAACATGTATGATTTATGACGCTCCATTTGTGTGCATCATAGCAACGGAAATTTACACTACTTTTTTTAGCTGTTTAGATTGATCAAAAATCCATATGTGGGACGCACTTTTTAAAAAATCTAGGATAATGGAACTTGTTTAATGCCAAGGGGCTGTTCATAAACCCCCACCCCCTAAAGCGTCCATGTAGTGGACGAACAACCCTTTATGTTTACAACGGCGCAAGTGCTTAAATTTCAAGTTGGATTTTGAGTCAATTACTACCTAAGCAACACGAAGGTTTTATAACAGGTAATATAACCTTTATATAACTGGATCAACTTAATTGCACGAAGATTGTGTTATTTGGGCATTTCATGGCCTCTTGAAACGTAGATGTATAATCCAGATGACCTGAATTTTGGCTTTTGCATCACCAAAAAAGGCTGCTATTTCTGCGTAATTTTGGTAGTGAAATAAATTAATGAGCATCAGTGTGGCATTGATTTTCCAAACTGGCGCCGGTATTGTATTTGATTTACTGGCGCTTTCTAAGACCAGCAGTATAGTAATTTGATTTGTAGTTCCATTAGCGACACTGCAAATCTAAACTGTGCCATGTCGTTTGCCAAACAGAAACTTTCTGGCAGTTGTTTGACTTCTTTGGCTGTTGATACTATTGGGTGTGTTTTTATCTCTAAATTTGCTCTAGGGCCAATAGATCTTTTAAAATGATTTTTGTTGTTTTAATAGCCTGCAGGATTAGTTGTTTTCAACTCCGGGCCTCGGACACTGACCACTGTCCCATGTTCGGACAATGAAGTGCATATGAATCGCCATTACTCACAGTCATATAAACTGACAAATAGATGATATTATGTTTCGAATGAAAAATTGATGCTTTCGGACAGTGAACAGTGAGCCATAGGCAGCGGTTTGGAGCCTAGTAGAAATGCAATTTTCTCGTCGACATACGTCCTGAATGTGCCAAAAAGCAAATATTAATCATTCAAAACAATATCAAATAAATTATGCGTCTCTTTTGTTTGCCATTCAGCTCGTCTGATAGGAGTTGGGGATGGTTTAATGGAATGTATGTTATGTTCTGTTTAGCATTCTGGCTCGGTTTCTTTCATGATTTCGAATGAAATTTACGAATGGCATGATTTCCAAGCATGTCTTCTATCAAAGAGATTTTATGTTATTTCAAAATTCTGTGTTTATTGTATTGAACACCTGCACAATTTATTTAACACGTCTGATACGGGTAATAACTTTACCAGACATTAACCCCAGCACGTTGTCTGCTAGAAATCACAGCTACACACTGATCGGTCAACTAAATATGGCCGAATGGACAGACACGACTAAGCAAAAGTCTTGCGAACGTGCCTCTTTTCCCCCAATCATTGCTCTTCCATATACAGATTACAACATGTCCAACGCAGTCCTGATCTGCCGGACTGCAAGCTGACTGAAACCGTGGTGGTGTAGGTCTTTCTTGAGCATCCGAGATGATAAATAATATACCGCTTTTTTGGCAAATATTCCCAGACGAAAAGAAATAAAATATTATAGAAATAGAACTAATGTGGCGCCGCTGTTCTTGTGTCTGCCGTACGGGTTGCATGAGTTCGGTTTATCTCCATGGAGTAGCGCCTTTCGAATAGCATGCTGATGTTGCTTCTGTCTCTGCGGCCACTTCCTCCTTTCCGACTTGTATGTTGGCTCTCCGCATT